GCACCATTGCACTCCAGCCTGGGTAAGAAGAGCGAAACTCCATCCCCCCCAAAAAAAAAAAAAAAATGAGCTGCGTGTGGTGTTACACACCTGTATTCCCAAATACTCGGGAGGCTGAGGTGAGAGGATTGCTTGGGCCCTGGAGGTGGAGGCTGCAGTGAGCTGTGATGGGGCCACTGTACTCCAGCCTGGGCAACAGAGCAAGATCCCATCTCTTTGTTTTCCTGTTTAATTTTTTTTATTATACTTTAAGTTTTGGGGTCCATGTGTACAACATGCAGGTTTGTTACATAGGTACACACGTGCCATGGTGGTTTGCTGCACCCATCACCCCGTCATCTATATTAGGTATTTCTCCTAATGCTATCCCTCCCCTTGCCTCCCACCCCCCGACAGGCCCCAGTGTGTGATGTTCCCCTCCCTGTGTCCATGTGTTCTCATTGTTCAACTCCCACTTATGAGTGAGAACATGCAGTGCTTGGTTTTCAGTTCCTGTGTTAGTTTGCTGAGAACGATGGTTTCCGTCTGCATCCATGTCCCTGCAAAGGACGTGAACTCATCCTTTTTTATGGCTGCGTAGTATTCCACGGTGTCTATGTGCCACATTTTCTTTATCCAGTCTGTCATGGATGAGCATTGGGGTTGGTCCCAAGTCTTTGCTATTGTGAACAGTGCTGCAGTAAACATGCGTGCATGCGTCTGTGTAATAACATGATTTCTAGTCCTTAGGGATGGCTGGGCCAAGTGGTGTTTCTAGTTTTAGACCCTTGAGGAGCCGTCACACTGCCTTCCACAGTGGTTGAACTAAAGGACGCTCCCATCAACAGTGTAAAAGCGCTCCTGTTTCTCCACATCCTCTCCAGCATCTGTTGTCTAAGACCCCATCTCTTAAAGTTCGAGAGGAATAATGAGAATGGCTGCAAGGCCCTGGGTTCAACTTTACCCCTGATGGGCTGTGTGTCTTGGGGAAGTCACTACCCCTCTCTGGGCCTTGATCTAAGTGCAGGGGAGGGATAATCTGCCACTTGGAAGGGTGTTGGAAGGATAGGGAGACTCTGAGCAGGGCGGGGGGAGGGGCTGTGTAAACTGGACAGCTGGACTCTGGCGCCGTGGACGCCAGTGCCTCATTCTTTCTTCCTCTCTCTCTCTTTCATTCCCAATCTGCCAGCGGAGAGAGGCCCGAGCAGGGTGAGTGAGTGGCACCCCGGACTCCCTTTGTATTCTCGGGGGACCGACACTGGTTCTGAGCTGATGGGGGCGCCAGAATGAGACCTCGCCTGGGTGTGGTGGCTCACGCCTGTGATCCCAGCGCTTTGGTAGGCAGAGGTGGGAGAATCATTTGGGGCCAGGAGTTTGAGACCAGCCTGAGCAACATGGCAAAAGCTCATCTCTACAGAAAGATACGAAAATGTAGCTGGCTGTGGTGGTCCATGGCTGTGGTTTCAGCTACTGGGGAGGCTGAGGTGGGAGGATCACTTGAGCCCAGAAGCCCAAGGCTGCAGGGAGCTGAGATCGGGCCACTGCACTCCAGCCTGGGTGACAGAGTGAGAACCCATCTCAAAAAAAAAAAAAAAAAAAGAAAGAAAAAGAAAAGTCCAATCGGGTGCGGGGGCTCACGCCTGTAATCCCAGCACTTTGGGAGGCCGAGGAGGGCGGATCACCTGAGGTCAGGAGTTCGAGACCAGCCTGACCAATATGGAGAAACCCCGTCTCTACTAAGAAATACAAAAAATTAGCCGGGTGTGGTGGCAGGTGCCTGTCATCCCAGCTACTCGGGAGGCTGAGGCAGGAGAATCACTTGAACCAGGGAGGCGGAGGTTGCAGTGAGCTGAGATCGCGACACTGCATTCCAGCCTGGGTGACAGAGCGAGACTCCGTTTCAGAGAAAACAAAACCTTAGCACTGAGTCAGCCCTTGGAAGCTCCCATTTCCCAGATGGGAAGCTTGAGGTGCAGACCCTAATAACAGTGGGGGACCGTCAGTCTCGGCGGGTTCACAGTGCAATCTAGGAGCGCAGGGCCCTGACCCTTTCTCCCTGTGGCCCCCGTCTCTTCGCAGAGTGTGTCTCCCTCGCCCCCCGAGAGTCTGGTGGAGGAGGAGCGACCCAGTGGCCCCGGTGGTGGTGGGAAGCAGAGAGCCGATGAGAAGGAGCTGTCAGGACCTTATGTGAGTAGGGGCAGGTGCAGGACTGGGGTGGGAATGCATGACCCAGGCCAGCTGGGGCCCTTGAACCTTCCAGAGCCCAACTCTGCCATGATTCTCTCACTCTAGAGCCTTCCATAGCTCCCTACTACTCAGAGTACTGGCCAATCAGAAGCAATCCCACAGTGCAAGGCTTAACTCTGGTTTCTTGACGTCTCTGCGGCGTCTGGCCCGTACAGCCGTTTTCCGCCCTGTTGCTTCTAGTCCAGCTGTTTTCTCTCCCTAGAACACCCCTGTTTCAGAAACCAGTTTTTCCATCAAGACACAGAGTGCTACCTCCTACAGGAAGCCTTCTCTGACCACCTCCTAGAGGCGGGGACCTCCTCTCTTTGCCAAGCAGCTGCACACCTGTCGTTTCAAAGTCTAGTGTCCAGGGGCCAGGCCAAATGCGGGGAATGGGGCTGTGGCCAGCTGGGGAGCACTTGTCCCACCTACGGGGGCAGGGACAGTCTGGTCTCAGGAGACTGGCAGGCTCAGTGCGGGCCGGTAGTGATGTTTCTCAGAGAAGCCTTTCTTTTTGGCAGTGAATTGATTGACTGACTGATTGATTGATTGATTGACTGAGGCAGAGTCTTGTTCTGTTGCCTAGTCTGGAGTGCAATGGCGCAATCTCGGCTCACTGCAGCCTCCGCCTCCTGGGTTCAGGCAATTCTCCTGCCTCAGCCTCCTGAGTCGCTGGGACTACAGGCACGCGCCACCATGCCCAGCTAATTTTTTGTAGTTTTAGTAGAGACGGGGTTTCACCATGTTGACCAGGATGGTCTCGATCTCTTGACCTCGTGATCCACCCGCCTCGGCCTCCCAAAGTGCTGGGATTACAGGCGTGAGCCACTGCGCCCGGCCTAATTTTTGTATTTTTAGTGGAGATGAGGTTTCACCGTGTTGACCAGGCTGGTCTCAAACTCCTGACCTCAGGTGATCCACCCGCCTTGGCCTCCCAGCATGCTAGGATCACAGGCCTGAGCCACTGCGCCCGGACGCAAGTAATTTTCATTTAAAGAATAAAACTGGGCATGGGAGGGGAGTCCAGGAGAACCCACCCACTGGGCGGATTTTGTCTTCCAGGCTGCAGCCTTTTTTTGTTCCTCTGGTTTCCAGCCCAACATGTCAGCAGTGCCCCGTCCCACCCCGCCCCGCCGTGGTACCCAGGATCGTGTTTTCTACATCAGTGAATGGAACTGGGGCTTGGCCTTTCTTCCAAGACAATGGGGAGCCATAGAGAGTTGCAGAGCAGAGGTGGTGACAGGTCTTAGGAAAATCCGTCTGGGGTCAGCTTGGAGGGTTGCCTGGAGGGGGAAGGCTGGAGGCCAGGAGCCCACGGAAGGGACTGGGAGGGGACGAGGTCTCCGTTAGGGCTGTGGGGGAGTGGGTGGAGGTCGGCAGAGAGATCGGTGAGACCCACATGCTGAGAGACCGATGGGCGTTGTGGATCGAGATTGAGGAAGGAGATAAGGATGATTCTGGTCTCTGGCTCTCCCCCCATTACACGGAGGGGTAAACCGAGGCCTGAGAGGGCTGGGAGTCACACAGGGCCCTCGTGCAGTCCCTGTCCTTCAAAGTCCTTCCCCACGAAGTGTCCACCTGCTCCCCGCACCCACGTCCTTCCCGGATCCCGGATCTGGGCACGTGCAGCCTTCCCTTCTGCTCTGAGCAAACGGGCACAGGGCCTGAGAGTCCCAGTCATTCCCCGGGCTGCCTCCCCCAGCTCCTGGGGAGCAGATAGGGGTCTCGGAGGCAGGGGCCTGACCACAATCATTTGGTGCCAGGAGTTTGAGACCAGCCTGAGCAACATGGCAAAACCTCGTGTCTACAGGAAAATACAAAAATGTAGCTGGGTGTGGTGGTGCATGGCTGTGGTTTCAGCTACTTGGGAGGCTGAGGTGGGAGGATCACTTGAGCCCAGGAGGCCACAGGGAGCTGTGATCTTGACACCGCACTCCAGTACGGGTGACAGAGTGAGACCCTGTCTCAAAAACAAACAAACAGAAAACAGAAAAAACAAGTCCAGCTGGGTGCAGTGTCTCACGCCTGTAATCCCAGCACTTTGGGAGGCCCTGGTGGGCGGATCACCTGAGGTCAGGAGTTCGAGACCAGCCTGACCAACATGGAGAAACGCATCTCTACTAAAAATACAAAATTAAGGCCGGGCGCGGTGGCTCAAGCCTGTAATCCCAGCACTTTGGGAGGCCGAGGCGGGTGGATCACGAGGTCAAGAGATCGAGACCATCCTGGTCAACATGGTGAAACCCCGTCTCTA